GTTCCTACCTTTAGATTTACTCCTCTATTATTCTTCCTGAGCTTTTTTCTATTATTTGGCCATGTCATGCCTTAGTTCAAATGTCACCTCTGCAGAGAGCCAGTGTCTGCAGTCCCGATCTAAAGAAGCACCACCTCATTATTCCAATCATTCTCTTATCACTGTTTCATTTCCACTGAAGAATTTGTCATGAATAGAAATGATCTTGTTTATCTCCATGTTAATTTGTTGCTCCCCCCAATTCTCCCACCCTTCACTAGAACATATTCCTCTGCCCAGGATATAAGACATTGTCTACTGATTCACTTACGTAGCTCTAGTGTCTACAACATTGCCTGAAACATAGTAGTATCGATAAATCTCTTTGGAATGAGCATATTATATGTAGGGTTTACATCTGGAGGAATACTTACACATAGGAGTATTTTATGGGGAGTTTTCTCAGTGAGTCTAAATAAAAAGGCAGTCATCCAAATCCATCTCTCTCGTTTCCACCTCTCTAGTAACTATGCCCTGAGTCATTATTTGAATGTTGTTACCTTTTCCCTTTTACAGCTTTTCTTTTCATGTTAAGCAGGAGTTAAGACCTAACCTTGCCAAGGCCTTTTAGAGCACAACCACTGGAGCCACACTTGTTCAAATCCAAGCTCTGGCCAAGTATGGCTTTGGCCCAGTCAAATTGGATGACCTAAAGCAACTTCTTGGATTTGGCTTGCATGCTCCTGTCTCTATTCAAGCTGTTTATCTGTGCCTCAGTTTCTACATTTATAAAACAATTCCTGCCCCATGAAATTATTGGGATGATTACAAGAATATGTACATGGCCAGGCATGGTGGCTCAAGCCTGTAATCCCAGCACTTTGGGAGGCCGAGGCGGGTGGATCACGAGGTCAACAGATCGAAACCATCCTGGTCAACATGGTGAAACTCCATCTCTACTAAAAATACAAAAAATTAGCTGGGCACGGTGGCGCGTGCCTGTAATCCCAGCTACTCAGGAGGCTGGGGCAGGAGAATTGCCTGAACCCAGGAGACGGAGGTTGTAGTGAGCAGAGATCACGCCATTGCACTCCACCTGGGTAACAAGAGTGAAACTCCATCTCAAAAAAAAAAAAAAAAAAGAATATGTACAAAACACTCAGAATAGGGACAGTCATATATAAATGCAGTATATATATTAGTCAATACTGTTTTCTGTTATATGGGGGCAGGACACAGTTGAAAAACACAAAATATCGAAGCATCTGTGGAAATGGACTGTGGTATGGAAAGTATGTGTGACCAGGAAAGTGAGAGCAGCTGGGCATTTGCTTCCAGGAATTCAAAACAATTTATTAATTTTACACTTAGATATTTGTAAAGCACACAGAAAGAGAGAAAATCTGAAAGTTAGAGCACCTCCATGATTTTGTGTTGAATGTTATAAATTTTATTTTAAAATAGCTCAAACTCATCTTGCATTTTAATATTTTAAAATAAAATCTATAATATCAAAATCTTGAGCATTTTAAAAACTGTAAAAACCATGATTCAAGTTAATAATTCTGTGCTTTGAGATTTGATTGGTAAACATGATTTCATTTGTCTATGAAGAATTTACTCTGTTCCTTTCTGGCTTTTTCAATGCTTTCAAAAGTGATCATTCCTCTTGGCAGCTGCAATTTACTCTTCTCTGTTTCCAGTATGTCCTCAGCTTCACCTTAAATAAAGTACAGAAATACATAAGGTGACAAAGGGATCATTCAGCAATTTGTGACAAAGCCTGATTGCTATAGCCCCTAAAAGGCTCTAACACTGTATAAGCCATGTCCCCAATCTCACACTTAAACATTTTCCTCAGGAGAAGTAATACACTTCCCAGAGGAAATATAGTGATAAATTCTGAAAACCCATAAATAAATCAGGAGATGTAGAAGAGAAAGAACATCAAGATAAGTAATTTTTTCCCTTGAACCAAAGTCAGGATTAGTATTAATTCTGTTTGGAGGGATTTGTGGTGGAGAACCCACATGTAGTCTTTCCTATTGCCCTTTAATATAAGACACAAGAGAGAAAGTAAAGTTTACTACAAATTCTAATTTTTGAGAAAAGCTCATCTTCAACCTGACATTACTTGTAAATACTCAAAATAATGTTAAATGTTATTTAGTCTGTATACATACACATATACACATCTTTATAAACAATTCCTCTTTCAAAGAGCTATAAAATGCATTAATTTCTTGGGCCCAATGACATTTGCTAGCTTTCATTGTTGAAGACTAGTTAGCACATTTAAAAAAATTGTATTACAATACATGTTTACATTTGATAAGTTTTCCTTGGGAATAAAAGATAAGACTTTCTGTGAGTACTCCTCTTTTAACACCCTATTTTATTTTTTTGAGACAGCGTCAAGCTCTGTCGCCTAGGCTAGAGTGCAGTGGCACAATCTCAGCTCACTGCAGCCTCTGCCTCCTGGATTCAAGTGATTTTTGTGCCTCAGCCTCCTGAGTAGCTGGGACTACAGGTTGTGTGCACTGGCTAATTTTTTGTATTTTTTGTAAAGACAGGTTTTCACCGTGTTGAACAGGCTGATCTTGAACTCAAGTGATCTGCCTGCCTTCACCTCCCAAAGTGCTGGCATCAGGTGTGAGCCACTGCACCTGGCCTTCTTCTAACATACTATTAATTGTACTTCAAACCCAACAGAACAGGCCATAGTTTTCAAATTATAAGAGCATTTCAATCATTTATAAATACCTTCTTTTTATTTACCTCTATCTCAAATAGCAAGTAAAAATCATTATAAAATTATATGTAATTAGGTTGGCCATTGATGACAGACTAGATGTTTTCCATGTGAGACAGCCTTCCTTCTAGTTGGTAAATTCTCATCATGTGTTTATAGAATGGCTGATGATAAACTCAGTCCAACAGGTATTATATATTTTAGGGTTATCACTATTAACATGCAAAAAAAGCATAATTTAAGTTTTCTAATGTGATAAGTTTTCTGATGAATTCTAATTTTTTTTAAACAGGAAATTCTCACAAAAATTTTCTATTCAATTTCTGTGCCAGCTGTGTCAAATTCCAGGGCAGAGACAGCAGCAGTGTGCTGGTGAGTATTTACCAACCAGTTCTCTGAAAATAAAATGTATATAAATGTATTATATATATGTTTATTATGCATGTTTATTATACATAAAGATATGTATAATAAAATGTGCAAAACTCTTAATTATAAAATTCTACATAGCAAATTGATTCTTACAGAATGCTTTCATTAATTTTTATGGAACACCTGAATCCATAGCCAGCCTATGTTGCAGTTGATGATAGAGTATAATAGATGGTGATTGGTGTTTTCATTTACACTGAGTAGGACACAAATGTCAGAACTTCACTTATTTGAGAATGAGGTGAACAACTTTTTAGCTGAACTGGATAATAGTTTTTAAATATTAGAAGACTATTTCACCAACTTTTATGCTATTGACAATATAATAGTTACAAACAAAGCACACTTTTAAGCTTAATCTCCATTACCAATTTCTTCATCAATTTTTAAAATCTAGACCATAGGTTGGCAAATGTTCTTAAAGGACCAGACAGTAAATATTATAGGCTTGTGGGCTCTTATGTTTCTGTTTCATGATTCTGTTTCATGGTAATGGGAAGGTAGCCACAGACAACACATAAATGAGTGAGCATGGATAGGTCCCAATGAAACTTTACTTTTGAAAACAGGTGGCCAGTCTGCAGGCCATCAATTGCCAACCCCTGGTCTAGACAATCAACAAAATAAGAAGTCAAGCCTTGATTTGGCAACTGCATATTTCCATTGTGTAAATACTCCCACCAAGACCAACTTCAGGCTACTAATGGGATGTCACTGAAATTGGACTGTAGCTCTATTTTGTCTGTATATTATACGTGCATTTCTATCACATAGATACAATAGATATAAATAATCAAAGAATATGGATAAAAATATTTCTAAATAAATATTTAGAAACAGATGAGTTCCATTTATTACCTTTGTTTTAAACACAATTTAATATTAACTTGATATAATTTAATTACAAGTTAATATAAGTTTTCATAAATTAAATGACTATGTTTAACAACCAGCTTACACAATCTCTGAAAATGTAGTGATTGGTTCTTGTGAGCTGATATGAGCTGGCTCCAGCACACCATTGTGTGAAAGAGAGCAGAAATGTTGGTCATTGGAAGTTCAGAGAGAGAGTCTTGTCAGAATCTTTACAAGTCAAGGGTTCCTAAAGCAGGGATCACTGAAATGGAAAATAAATCAGCAAATAGAAACTGTAGCTTATTAAATACTTACCTTTCATTCTTTCTAGAAGGGTTCCATAGCCCAAGTCATACTGGTAGGTGAGGATAAAGCTTAATGGAACAATAGGGACCAGAAAAGCTGGCTTCTTTTTTTTAATTGCTCTGTTTCAAGAATGAAAAAAAAAAGTATCAAGAAATAACCTGTAAATACATACCTGTATACTTATAGAAAAAAATTACCTTTTTGGAAGAATGTCTTTTCATTCAAAGTTACCTAATTCATTTGATAATTCTATGGAAATAGGATTTCCTTACCCAATAACCCTAACCAGATGCTGCAGTTCTCAAAAGCAAAAGTCTGTGACTTGTTCATCTTTACTTGACTTTGAAGCTCAGTTCCTTGTTTTTAAAATGGGTAGGGATTGGTATATACCACTAAGGGATTGTGAAGATAAACATGTATAAGCCTTCTATCTTGGTGTCAAGTGGGTGCTGTCTCTAACTTATAACATAGAGAAAAAGACAGAAGCAACCCTAAGAAACTAAATTAAATGTTACTGTCTTGCTTTCACAGAGTTACCCCCAAGGACTAAGGTATAACAGGTTACTTTGCTTATATACACTATTTGGACCAGTCTTATCCTGGCCATAATAAAATGGTAATGGAAAAGACAAAAAGAAGTAAATGACTGAAGAAATTGTTCAATAGCAAACATACCCAGCTGTTAAAGAGATGGCTGCAAGGCCAAAAAAAGTTCCAAAATATTTGAGGAATTCCCGAGACCATGCTATCTGCATGGCCATTTGTCTTTCCCTCATTTCACTCTGCATGATGAGTTGCCTTTCCAGCTGAGGACAAAACAAAAGATAGAGTTACTCATCTGTGGAATCTGAACAAATAGTTAATAATCTCTTTTTCCAGTGGATTTATTCTTTAATCACTTTAATTCATATTTGTTTGTTTGTTTGTTTTAATCTAACAGACTTTGACTAAAGTCCCTTTGGACAGCTCTCACCAACTGTTACCTTGGCAGTGAAATCTTCCTGGAATAAATACAGATTAAATATCAATATTCCGTTTTTACACCCTGAGGTCTTGACTGCCTGTGATCTGGAGCTTTAGCCAAGAATCAAATAAATGTTCAGCTTTTCCTACTGCACGTGTGGAAAGATCTCTGGTTCTTTACATGTAGATACATCTTATTGGCCTTTATTTCTGCTTGCACGGAAATCTGCCTTCCAAATCCATCTATCTCCAAACTGAAATTTATTTGGAGTATTTATTTGGTCCCATATCACATCACAACAGGACAGTAGAGCGGTATTGTTCTGAGACATCTATAGAGATTTTTCCTTGCCACATTGTTCTTGCCTCAAGTTCTTCACCACTTTGTTCAGTGCCTTTCACTGCTTTGAACAGAAGGCAGATAGCTAGAAGATAGAGACTGAATCTCTAAATGGATTCTTAGCAAATACTCAAAAGAAGCAACAGTTTGGAAACCCAAGCCCATTATTTGAAGGGAGCTATATTCTTGACAGAGAAAAGTGTTGTTGGTGGTGTTGATGAAGATGATGTTTTAATTCTAAAATACTGGCACTACATGTCATTAGCCAAGCTAGAGGGCAGTAGTACACACAGAGTTCATGATGCAAGGAAGAGGAGAGGAAGGAATAATAATGTGATTTAGTTTTTTATCCATGCCCTCTTTCTACTGAAGGGAGTAGCTGGAAAGGATGAATGATAGTTTAGATGTAAAGATAGGGCTCAGCTCCTTGGCCATACAGAGGTTAAATCCCCAGAAGATACTAAGGAAGCCTCAGATGGGTTTGGGAATCCCACATGATGTTCTCTAAGGGCATCTGGCCATGTTCCAGGCTGGCATAACCATCCCCTCCATACTCTCAGGTGCTACTGATCCTCTGGGATCCAGTGGCCTTCTCCACTCAGCCACTGGCTTACATTCACTCCCAAGTGTCTGTTGTGGGGTCCTTTGGCCCAAGGTTTTGGACTCTGGTAGGCCACCTGCTCTGAATCTGCAACTACCTTCTGTGCCCCTCTCCAGCTAACCTGAGAACCTTGCAGACTTTCTCCACGTTCACTGGCTGCTGACAGAGATGGAAGTGGAAGCCCTTAGGGGTGCTCTCTCTGAGATCTGCCCTAAAACCATTTCTGCTCTGCAGTACTTCCCTCCCAACATTCTCCACAGGAAGCAGGACCATAATTCTCCGTATGGGGATCATCAAAAGCATCTAGGATAGATGTGCCTTCCCTGATGCTGTTGCCATCTGAGATTACCTGGACCCAAGCCTAGGTCATCCCAGGGAAAAGATGAACAGATAAGGGAAAGAGGAAAGCTGAATTCAACTATTTTCTCCCAAAGAATGGAGTTTTAAACTAAAAGTAATTGAGTAACCTTGACTTGTCAAAATTAAATTTGCTGTCATCAGGAGAAGTTGAGGTTCATTTTGAGTTCAATTAGAGATAAAAAATAGATACGTTTTTGCACAAGATTATTTAGTGTGTGAAATTCATCCTTGCTACATTACTTATTAACAAAACTTACATATTGATTTATTATATTCCCCAAAGTGGTGTAAATGTAGCAATTAATTATTTGCATTTTTAGAGGATTCCAGAGTGGTTCTAAACCTTTGCTGCACACCCTGAGCATCTGGGGAGGTTTTCAAAGTCCTAGTACCCAGACCTACACCCCGACCAACTAAACCAGGTGGGATCAATTAAGTCAGGACCTTGAGGTAGGATCAGGCATCAGTATTTTGTAAAGGTTTCTAGATAGTTCTTGTGTTCAACTGAGACTGAGAACCACTGCCTGAAATAAAAGACTCAAAGCTTATGTTTTTTTTCCAATGAAAGATCAAGCTGAGATATCAGTCTGAAAGAGATCCCCTGGGAACTCTCAAAAGATTGTAAGCAGAGAGGCTTTAAGGGTGGTGGAACTAATCTGTATGGTACTATGGCGGTGGATACATGACACTCTGCATTTGTGAAAACTCATAAAACTTTACAGCACAGAGTGAGCCTTAATACTTACAAATTTTATAAATCAGCCAAAAGGGCAAGGGATGTATAAGATGAAATGGAGACTGTGACAAAATAGTCTGATTGTATTACAAATGTATGGCACAACCTCACTGAAGGGTTGGGGAAAAAGAACTGATCTAACTTTGGAAAATGGTATTTTGACTAAAAACTGTAAAAGTAAAGACAGAAAGAACTGTACATAAATGTTGTACTCTAGTAGGTAAAACTGTCTTTCACAAGTTACAGATTAACAATTCTGAAACTATTTTACATGTCTACTAGAGATAAGCAACAAGTAAACTGACAGCAGATGGTGGAAGCAAGGTTTCTTACTATTAAACAGGGAGGTTACAAACAAGCAAGAAGAAAAGACTAGAATGAACCACGTGGTACTGGATTAGAACCAATGATGTAAGTATAAACTCATGCTTAGTGCTTGATATAGAGACTGACAAAGATGAAATGATAGACGTGCATATCTATATGCATGCATGGATTAGGCATCCATGGGTTACTGTAAGTATATACCTTTCTCAGGTCCGTTCACTGACAGGTCATAGAGGAAATAACAACCTTTTGCAAGCAAGCATACCCAATACCCAGAAACACCCAGACATGATTTCGACTCTCCAAAACAAACAAACAAACAATAAATAAATAAATAAACCAGGGCTCTTGGAGAAATAGCTGGCCTAGGACTAGGGCAAGAAATGTGTAAGAGGAGCCTACAGCATCTTATAGTGCCAGAAAACCAAGAGATTCTAAAAATAATAATAATAATAATGATAGAGTATGTCAAAGGGACACAGGGGTCAATTTGAAAGATCTCCTAATGTCTAAAGCTAGAACAGTTTTATTGGCAAAATAAATAACATAGTATTGGATTATAACCAAAAGTACAAAATAAATATCCGTGAGTCTATACTAATATAAGTGGAGTAAAGACAAATATCCTGTACAGAAGAATTCCAACTCATTTATGTAGATACTCCTCCTCCCTCTTGAAAGAAGTAGAGTGTAACTCCCATCCTTGATCTTGGGCTTTGCTTAGTTACTTGCTTCCGATGAGAACAGTATGAAAGAGCAAGGTGAGGGATGAAGAAGCTCAAGAGACAAGAAGACTAAATGTAATGTGGCATCCTGGATGACATTCTGGGACAGAAAAACCATATTAGAGATAAACAAATGAAATGTGAATGTGGGATGTATTGAATAGTAATGGGTCAATGTTAGTTTCTTTGTTGTGGCAAATGTGCCATAGTAATGTAAGATGTTAACAGTTGGGTACAATAAATGTAGGGTGTTCAGGAATTCTATATGCCGTTTCTGTAAACCTAAAACTACATCTAAGTTAAGTATATTTAAAAAACTAGTCATGAACAAACATTATATTCTGAGTCTACTCCGTTACTGATAAAAATAAAGGCCACCATGTCCATCTTTCATAAATTACGAAAATCAGCAAGATTGTGTATCTGTGATAAACTATGAGTCTAGATTGAGAAAAAAAATCCATGAAGACTCTCTCCATGAGCAAAACACAATGATGAAAGATATCATTTTGATCTGTAATGTTAATTATCAATTAAAATTTTATTAACTATCCTATATTTCATAAGATTATATTTAAAGTCACAGGTCTGTATCTGTATACACTTTAAAAATCAAATTAGGCTGGGCGTGGTGGCTCACACCTGTAATCCCAGCACTTTGGGAGGCCAAGGCAGGTGGATCACGAGGTCAAGAGATCGAGCATCCTGGTCAACATGGTGAAACCCCATCTCTACTAAAAATACAAAAAATTAGCTGGTGGTGGCTTGTGCCTGTAGTCCCAGCTACTCGGGAGGCTGAGGCAGGAGAATTGCCTGAACCCAGGAGGCAGAGGTTGCGGTGAGCTGAGATTGCACCATTGCACTGCAGCCTGGGTAGCAAGAGCGAAACTCCATCACAAAAAAAATCAAATTAATACACTTAACTACCAAACGTTTCAGTAGCCATAAAGGGATAAACGAATTAATGCAATTATTAATTTACCACTAATTGCATCCTTTAACTATGTATATATTCATTTTCAACCTTCCTTCCCAATTACTGACACTAAAAACAACAAATAAAAGCAAAACAGAACATGTACAGTAAGTTATCTTAATGGTTGTTAACTCAGATCCTGAATACAAAATTCTTTTTCCTATTTCAAAATAATTGTAGATCCTTTATAATAATAATTTTTTATCTCTGGACCTTTTGATATTGTTTTAGAAAATAATTTGAAATCAAAATGTTCCTACTTATAACTTCACATTCTGAGGATTTTACAAGCTTATATGAAGTTAGTTTAACAATTAAAGAACCACAATTAATTTTAAAGAGATTTCTCAAAGAACTTAAAATAGAATGACCATTTGACCCAGCAATCCCATTACTGGTTATATATATCTAAGAGAAAACAAATCATTCTACAAAAAAAGACATATTCACTCATATTTTCTTTGAAGCACTGTTCACAATAGTAAAAAAATGGCATCAATCTAGGTGCCCATCAATGGTGGACTGGAGAAAGAAAATGTGGTACATATACACCATGGAATACTATGCAGCCATAAAAAGGAATTAAATCATGTCCTTTGCAGCCATACGAATAGAGCTGGAGGCTATTATCCTAAGTGAATTAACACAGGAACAGGAAACTAAATACCTCATATTCTCACTTATAAGAGGCAGCTAAACACTGGGTAACTAAAGACATAAAGATGGCAATAATAGACACCAGGAAATACTAGAAGAGGTTGAGGGAGAGGGGAGCAAT